ATTCCAATGAAATTTTCCGATGATCAATATTCTGAAGTAGCTTCAGCCATGTGCATTTTTCAAGTAGACGCGAAGATATGCAGCCGTAGTGTTCCAACATTCAGTATCAATTCACTCAAGTAGAAGTTAATTAAAAATTCTTCAACCATGGGATGACTTTCGGCGATGTGCAAACTAATCTTTCGCTTCTAGCCCGACTACGTTTATGTTCAGAGTTAGAAATCTTTAATGCTCTCATCTGTGTGTAGTTTTGGGCATCGCCAATATCCATTATATTCAGGATGGAGGCGCAGTGAGTTAGTAGGTTCTTTTGCACTCCAGAGTTAACAGTCGCCTGGCACGGCGAAAATTTTTTTTTATTAACAGCTAATTCCCTTGAGCGATGAGTTCACTCTACTGCGGTTCTTTACAATTCGCCGAGAATCGGAGAGGGAATCGCTGGCCTAAGAGAAATAGGAACAAAACAACGTTTCTCTGTGTCCATTACGGAAACGCGCGAAAACTTGGACCATGCCACGTGACGTGTACTCCTTATGACTGTAGATCCCTTTGATGAGCCTGGTAGCTGAATAAATTGAGTGCAAGCAAGTGGAAGGTGCAAAGCGTAAATGAAAATTGCACAATATGTCTTGAAATGTAGCGACTCAAGAGTAGCAGGTTCATCGTTGAGTATTGCACTCTGCATTGGTGGTCAAACAGAAAACAACATGTAACATGGCTTATTCATAAATAGCGCAAACAGTTTGGCTAGAAAAATGATTGTCCAATATCGATGTTTCAGGCCGTGTCCCGTTTGCCTTCCTCAAGGTAGAGGGGCTGCTTGATTGACTTTGGAAGTCTTTTTTGTCGTTAGTGGCGGATGTTTCGTGTAAATCCAGAAAGCCGTGATTAAGCTGAATCATTCCTCAATCAATAATGTCATGGCTCTCTCATGATAGAATCATCGCTGTTTGCTGATAAGCAAAATACATTGTAAAGCGTCCCGATCATAGTTTAAATTCAAATTTTCTTAATCGTTTTAAAAGTAGCAGGTGTTCTTCAAGATAAGTTCCAAGGAGATATCAGAACACACATTTTTGGTCTAACGCTTCAAAATATTCGATTTAAATATACCACATAAACTCCCATGATCGATTTTCCTTTCGCGTCGCTGAGGGAGACGCGTCAGGCAGTGCTTCCAACGTTCCCGATCCTGTACCAGAGTCTGAGCATCGGCAAAAGACAACTGGAGTCTGGAACAGACTCCGTCCATATATTTGCGCCAGGTTTAATCTTGGCCGTCCCCTGGGCCTTCTGTCAGTCGGCTGAGCAAGCAGTAGTTGCTTCGCCTTCCTTTCTGAAGGCATTCGCACAACGTTCCCTAACCGTCGCAGCTGTGAAGGTGGCATCGGTGACCATCGCAGCAATGACGTTTTAACAAGACTCTGCACTTAAGAGAGACAGCTGTTTGTAATTTTCAGCAGCTACACTCGCAGTATCTTATCAGTCTAGCCGTTTACTGAGAACGTCGCGAAGAATGCTATATAGCTAAGTGAACCCTTAATATGCGAGTTCACCACATAAGTTTTGTGAAGTTGTGATAGGAATTTTTAAGGTAAAAATTCAAACGCAGAAGAACAAATAATCTTTCATTGAAGTTATTTCTTCAGAATCAAGCGCTACGGATACGGAACGCCTAATTCATCGACCAACTGTTGGACTCATTCGCGAGCGACTTGAGTCATATCTCTAGCGACGGCTCTTACAGGCCGCTTCGAATTCCATTTCGGTTGTGCTACAGACTTGGAATGGACAGAAGAAGGGCATTGAGATCATCACCTTGACATGTCAAATTCGCTAGACTAGTGAACATATATTCGTCGTTCCGGATAGTACTGACCGAAGTATGCCAAAATCAGCCAGTGTCCATTCGGTATGGATGACAAACCATGCAAGCATCTGCATGCCGTATTCTCCTATTTTTTGGATGCGGACTGCTGCAATACAGTCAGTCAAGAGTCCACCAAAAAAGAGATCCTTTGCGATCGCCAGAAAACGAATTTTGTTTGTCATAGTGATTAAAACCAGATGCTGGAAATACACTAGGGAAATTTCGACCACAATTCTTTTACCCACTCATGATTTCAGCAGCTTACGGGCAGAGCACAGTTTCCCGTTCAAGAATATTTAAGCGAAGCGGTTCTCGGTTTCACGCACAACCAGCAGTCGTATCTAGGAATAGGAGACGGGTGAGCCAAGGATAAAAGCATGCAAGAATCAGGTTACGCTCACGATGTTGGCACTATTGAAAAACATTTGCAGTACAAGATATAGTATAGGAGTGTTATATAAGAATGGGAATGCGATGTGAACTCTCGGCATGTGTGTCCTGATTTTTTCCTTTCCTTGTTCTGTCAGGTTACATCCAATAATCTTGCCGTTCACTTGTAACGAACAATTTGTCACAACTGTATGCAAATGAGAATTTATTAAATTTTGCATACGTATATGCGTATATGACATCAATTACAGAAAATGATTGCAATTATGAATAAACTAAATCATGTAAACCATCCATAACAAAATTTATCGGTTAGGTTTACAAATAAAAGTGCACACATCATGAAAATTAAATACAAAATCCTGAAAGAGACAAAGTTGTAGCTCAGGTACACTTTCAGTATCCTTGAAAAGCGAGCGACCGCGTAGGACCTTGAGAACAGCAAACAACAGGATGATAAACTGTATATGTATGATAAAGCATACCAACTTGAAAAACAGCACATTCGAAAAATAAGCGAAATGTCTACAAACAGTAAGCAAATAAATATTATGAGAAAAAATATGAATGGGAATTTGTCCGAAGAAAGTAAGGAATGAGACAAGAAAAGGAGCAGCAGACTATTATAGCGCAGTAACAAAAAAGTAAATTCGAATATATGTCAGAGCATAAGGGAATAAGGGAATACACAACAAAGAGCATAATTAGGGATGAAAAGTAATTGCTTAGATTTAATAACAACAAAATCAGAAAACAATTGACGAGACAGCAGCCGAAGGAAACAAAACGCAAAAGAAAAGATGTGCCGGAAAAAAAACAAGACCAGCAAAGAATGCAACATGCGTAAAAAAAGAATTTATTTTCGGCAAAAATCAGAAGATGTGGAGGGACAGCAGCGACAATACAAACCCCGAAAGTGCAGGAAAAAAATAAACGGCGAGAGAACAAACAAGACCAGGACAAAATAAAGAATATATGTCGGAAGAGAAAGCAACTTACGGAAAGAGCTAGGAGATTAAAGTGCGACGTAGCGGTAAGCGAAGCAAAAGAGTGCTTACGGATGGAGATTGCTATACTGAGACGCAGAATACAAACAAGAGAGAACATAAAGCGCAGACGTCGTAGGTGGCGGAAGCAACCGTTTATGTTGCCGAACAAAGTGATCAAATAACTCATGACTTTGCAGCAACTGTTGTAAGTAACAATGAAAAAGAAATATGGATAGAATATAAATGAAGTCAGGAATGTACGTACAACAAGAGACTAACATACGGAAATAACTGCCAAGAGGTTGCTCAATGAAACACTTCTGAAAAGTGGGAAAGGAAAGCAAGATGATAGCAATACATCGTACGTACCAGTACTAAGTAAATTTAAATCAAACAAAAATGAGATAGAATAAAGGCAAAAACACAGCGTAGCGTACCGACAACAAACAACCGCTTATGATGAAGAGCAGAACATAAGTAGCAAGATGTCGGCCGCACCAAATAGGAATAAGATACACATACGACGACGTGTGCAGCACCAAGGTACATGCGGACGTTTAAAGTCTGAACGTAACGAAGAATGAGACCGAACAAAAGCAGACACAGCCTAAAGACAACACCCTCGAAAGGGATCGAACCCGGGACCTATTGAATCAAAGCGACCTCTCAATCAAAACAGTTTATTACTTTCTCTTCACGATTGATAGTTCAGTGCATCAATTGATTGCACCATGAACATGCAAGTGAAGAGAATGCAAATAAGATAATGAAAGACGAGAAATAATTTACAGAGAGCATGTAGATTCACAAAAATACGTTAAAAAATAGTGGTGGAAGTTAAGACAAAGGATGAACTAAGGAAAACAAGCGTGGAACAATGGGAAACCAGCTTAGAAATAGAATACAGCTGAAAACAGGAGAGGAATAATCAGACAAACCCAAGTGCATACAAAACTACTACCTACCGCGCGGAATGGCACACTTGGGATTGCAATCGCCAACGGGAAGGAAGCCGCATAACCATGATAAATGATAAATTAAAGCCTTCGGGCTCCGCAACTATCGACTGCTGCAGACCATCAACCATATTCTTGATACTTCACTAACAACCTATCTTGAAAAAGGCTGGTAAAACACGGGCCGAAACGTCGGCATGGGTCAGTCACTGGACTGACCATAGTACATTTTGCGTTGCATATGAGTAAACCGGGTTTTACGCTTCTTTTTCATGATGACCACAAACTCACGAACGAATTACTCTGTCACCCTTAAAGCTGATTGACGGATTTTCATGTCATGTTTCTGATCGGATGATATTTGCATTGCCTTTCGCGTTTTACCCTGCTTTCCGCGATAGGAGTAGTATAAATCCTCAAGAACATCCGACGCATCGTGTCGATAGATAATACCTGCATACTTCAAACACGGTAGAATGTTGAAGCAATTCGTTTAGACTGGCTGGAGGTGGTGCGTATATGTAGCTTAGTTACCATGCTGTACTTTCCCCCTTACAGCCTAGCTGTTGGCCGCCTTATCGTTTTCTTTCGAATAATCTATTCGTGTAAACATGTCATTTTTGCATAGAACCTATTCGCTAATTTCCGAATGCTGAAATTTTTGTTTACTCTTCGTATTGTCATATGATGATGGCAGTAGGTGTAGACCGGTGTCATCTGCGCATTGCCAGCTTCTCGTGCGAATGCTCGTCGAGAGGATGGTGAAGTGAGGAACGGCGGCGACGACGAACTGAAATGGCCAGTTGCTTCAAGGTGTGCCTGGACTGCGTCCAAGGTCCGAGCGTGTTTAACAGCCACGTTCGGCTCCGGGAGAATGTCGGCGTGTCGTTGGACTCGGACCATTGCGGCAAGCGCTTCGGGTGTCGTAGCCAATGACCATCATGTCTGACGGTCTTGTGTTGTGTTGTAGGGGGAAACGTGATCCTGCTGAAGGACGGCCGGCGCATCTGCGGTAGTGGCGCGGCGATTGGCAACGCACCACTTGTGCAGAACAAGTCTTATTTCGAAGTGAAAGTGCAGCAGACGGGTTACCCTTGATTTTGGTCATTACCACGCGCAACGACGTTTCGTTTTTAGGACAGTGGGGCGTGGGCGTTGCGCTGCGGGATATCGACCCCGATTTGTTACCCCTCGGCCGTGACTCGAAGTCATGCGTTCTGCGAAACACCGGTGACGTGTTCTTCGACGACCGACTCGTCGATTCATTCGAGCACGAGGTCGAGGAGGGCAGCGTTGTGGTAAGCATTCGATTCGACAACTTTATATTTAAAACGTGTCAGTGGTCGAGCTGGTCGTGTCTTGAAGATTGAGGGTTTCTTTCTCTTAAATGAAATTACTGAAACAGTCCATTTTCCCACGCTACTGCCTAAAGCGTTTCTTAAACGGCTTTATAAATTCGGATTCACAATTAAACAACTCAGTATTGTCTTGATGGTTGTGTCATCGTCGTCGAAGATTAACAGAGATTAAGCATGAAATCGATCCAAATTTATGATGTTCATTTTTAAAAATGTCCAAATTAATATTAGATATTGTTCACTCTTGCGGCAAAGGCCATGTTCCTTTGTCGCAAGCAAGCCTGCCACAGGAGGTGTTTCCAAGTTTTATACACTTATATGCAACATGACGATGGTAAAGTGTTGCAGCCGATAAGTTTCATTCCTGGTAACGTCGTTAGAAATTAATGCGTTAGAGATCAGTCTAGATTATGGCAGGATAAAGTTTTCTTGATGCCTTAATCCTGAATTACATTTTTGTGCCACTCAGTCGCGAGATCAAATGTTACGTAACAAATTACTAATTGTACCTTAACTTTCGCTTATATCGAGCGGTGAGGAGTTTTCGTTGCACATGCACGTAAGATGTTTCCGTGCTAGAATACGAAAAGACTCCTTTCTTACTAGCTTCTGCATCATAAACTGTTTGTACGCCTGAGCATGTAAAATACCGAACTACTTCAGAATTTCAAGGGATATTGCACCGCTCTCTTGCTCCAAGTTACACAAGGGCGCCATTTAGGCAGGGAATGGTTCATTGGTGTTTGAGCACCTGAGATGCAGCTTGCCATTTTGCCCCCCTAAGGCCACCGCGCTCATCACGAGCAGTGTTAAGGAGCTAGTACTTCTCATATGCTTCCGCATAAGCATAATGTTATGATGTTATGTTATACGACGGTATCTGACAAGGAATAGGACTGTGCATTTCTCCGCCTTGAAATCGGGTC